TCTAGTGTTCCTTGAATCAATTGTAAATGTAATCCCTAAAGCAACAGATTGTGTAACTTGTGTCAATCTTAAGCTTTACGTCATATAGATTCTTACAACTTGGAAATTAGGATTTCAAAATCAATCCTTTATGGTTCATTTTGATAAAACTGTAAACTATCAGCTGCCTCGGCACAAGCATGATTTATAACATGCATTTGTAGAATTTTTCGTAGAATTATTCAGAACAAAGGATCCAACTTCCTCAAGGAAAGCTGACCATCGATGGTTTTATAATAACTTGTTGGGTCCATTTTGGTGTCTTTCAACATAGCCAATTATACATAGATATACTCAAAACAGTTACATTATATATCAACAAATGAACAAGTAAATGAAAATGAAAAATTGTTAAGGAAATATTAAGCTTCTCAATGATCAAAATAAGTGTTTGTCAAACTGCTATATATCCAATGAATTTTTTCCGATAAAGTGTGTGGTTCAAGTTTTTTAATTTTTTTATATTTTTGTCAAAGGGTCAAAGTAAATATTTTGTCAAAATTTTATGAAATTTAAACGAGCCAAATTAATTTTAGTCAAGGTGTTTGGTACCACCTTAAAAATGTTTGAAATGTATCATGTTGAAGAATTTATTTTTTATAGATTAGTAAAGCGTTGAATAAAATCTACTGGGATAAGACTGTATAGTAATATTCTCTAAACACGTTTTTTTTCTAAACTGCAGGGCCAGCACTATCAACGAATGTGCATAGTTTTTCATTTAAATCAGCAAGGTACGACCTGTTATTTGATTCAATCATATCATATGATACATTACATCTCAAATTTATTAATCACACATTTGGCTACACATTTTTTGTTATGTTTTTTTTATTTGGACATTACTTATGAATATTTAATGTAATTCAGACATACGCATCAATCGCAGAAAAAATGAGTTAATGCAAAAGATTTCGAACACGGCAAATTTGATTTGTGGAACTTTGATGTAAAATATGCTGCACATCGTGTGTTTATACATCTTTGGCATTGCAAACTGTTGGCTCTTATCGTTCAACGTGAAGCCTATTACAGAAAGTTATGTATGCTATACTTTAATATAAAATCTGTGCTGTATTAGACGTGGTTTTATTTCTTTTAAACTAGAACGTACCCGCGACATCGTCTATAAGATATCTTATACTTTATAAGATATCTTATAAACTTTAGAAGATATCTTATAAACTTTAGAAGATATATTATAAAGTATATAAGATATCTTCTTCTAAAGTTTATAAGATATCTTCTAAAGTATATAAGATATCTTCTAAAGTTTATAAGATATCTTATAAAGTATAAGATATCTTATAACATCTGTCTGAACTTTCTAATGTTTCATTTTAATATATAAAAATGTTTTTCTGTTACAAATCATGATGTATTGTTTTATATGTACATGTTATGCTGCCCATCAAGGGCCCTTGATTGGAATAATAAATAATCTTATTCTTATTCTTCTTGTTCTTATGTTATATGAGATATCTTGAATTTGGAATAAATAGTAAAACGGCTTGCCATATATATATTAGTTATATATAAAGTTGATTATTGTTTGATTCGTTGTTTTTACGTCATGACGGCTAACAAATTGGACCTCGTTAATTTAGTAGTATATTTATGTTCTTATTCAATACTTCAAACGAACATAAATCATTTATAAAGAAAACTCAACACCGTTATTTGGTTATCAGCTCGCCCCGACAGCACAGAAAGCTTATTTTATTACAAATAAAAACACAAATGTCCAATTTTCTGTCATCGACCGCTGCCATCACATATAAACACAATCTACAATAGAAAAGTATTCTATAAGTTGAAGAACAAAATCTTTACAGTAATACATATCATATATTCTCTTTACTACATAACATACTATGTACTTTCCTATGAAGTCTTGAAAGGGTGGGTGGGTGGGAAACGATACTGTACTGTCGGATAAGCGAACCTCGAATGACAATTCTAGACTATAATACTATAATTTAGCGCTTAAATTCTAGCATGAAGTTATCATGATTAATATTACCTAAACCGGTAATAACTTACTGTTTGTCCAATCAAATTAAACATAAACATGTTTTGATTTGAACACACGTGCTTAAAGTAAACAAGTACACGAGTTCCCGAGTAACCTTTATAAATACATATACTATTACAATTCATAGATAAGTCGCGTTTAAAATTTTTATATGTTTGCTATCTCTAAAAATTTGTTGCATAATCTAGTTAAATTTTTTTCTTGAAAATGTTTATTGTTAATCGTGTTTGTATCATAAACAATTGCTATCAAGTTTAAAGAATCTATAAATTTCCAAGCCTGACAAGCAACGTGCATTTTTTGCAGACCGTCCAAATTAATAAAGTATTACGTCCTTTTTTCAATATAATCGATTTAGTAATACGGTGGATTTTTTTTTCGAACAGAGATGTTAAATCTTCGAAATATCCTTACTTGTGTGTCCGATGACTGAGGGTTGTTCTTATCATGGCTGTGATTCCTTTTTTCATAACACATATTTTTATCACTGTATCGGCTTTGAAACGAGAACTGTTAACATTGTAAGTCACGGTCGTGTAATATGTTTAACCACTGATTTTAAGTCGATATATAGAGCATCTTCTGTAAAAAAAAATATAGTGTTCTTCTTGTGAGTAGTCATCAGACATGGTCATCTTTTCGTGACGTCGTGATAGCGAAATCGAGGAAAAGAAAGACAAACTGATGACTTAATTGAATTTTGACCAGTGAAGAACTAAGCTTAAGCAAACAACAATTTGATATTAAAATTAACCAACAGGTCAAGGAAAGTCCAAACTGATTGGATATGAATTTAATAAATACTGGTCTAACAAGGTCGTGACATGTCACATAATTTAAACATTAATTATTAAAAGCTATATAATACATATTGATCAGTACAAATCCCCAGAAGATTTAAAATGATAAATAAATTATTCAGTCTGATGTATCAGAAATCAATGTTCTATGTACACAACATGTGTCAATTATCCCTATTTAAATTAATCAGGGATATTTACAAATTGCATTACGTTTTAGTGTAAAAGTGAAGATAACGGGAAATGTTAAACATGAGATAATACTGCACGAAAATGTATAAGTCAAACCTTCTTCAACTAAATTGCCGGGGAATCTATGTAAGACAACAGCGATGACTCAGTGACCAAAATAGTTCAAGACATCTAGTCAAAGTTCAGCATATCGTTTTAAACAATAGCGTTTATGCTACATCGACGAAAAAGTCAACGAAGAAAACCAAAGATGAGCAAAATTTCTTGCTTTAACTCAAGTCGTGTTATCTTCATTATACCTAGCACACATTAGCTTAATTCTTATGGTTGAAAATTATTCATTCTTGTATAAAATTTTATTATTCTTTGATTACTTTTTCAAGTTTGCATAATGAGGTGACTCATTCCTTTGGGTTTTCTTTTTCTTTGGTCACTGTATAATGGTTTGTGGTTCGATTTTGAATGGTGCATATCACGAATGAGTCGCCTCCCAAAAGCTTTTATCAATTATAGTGACTTCCTTCATAGAGCAAAAGCATCAAAATGGTGGTCCGTTTTGCTATGTGGGGTGTATAGATAAGAATCCATGTGCGGTCGGAATGGGTACGTTAAATTTAATGCCATTTATTGGGAGATTTCAGCTCTGTGATGTGTCAGTAGGAGGTCTGTTGTAAGGCAACATGCTTGCTATTATCCAATCTATCCACATTTTCTAGTCGCAGTCTACATTTCCCAACCTGAGTCTAATCATTTTGTTCATTTTTTTTCTAGTTCTGAATATCTATGAAATATTTGACATAGAACGTTAAGTAATCAAATATCAATCAATCAATAATGGTTGACCACTGGCCATTATATTTTATTCTTAATGCCTTATGAGCATGTCCAATGTAAGTCATTTCTACCGCTAATGTCAAAGATGAGCGTTTCTAGGAATCATATTTTAAAAAACAATTTTTAAGACAGTTAACAATATTTCCAAACCCGTATCAAATAATTTACAGGGATGTTGGTATCATTACTCTATAGTATTCAAGGTTGTCGATCTTTTAGAAACAATATGAAAGTAAGGAGCTTTGGTATAACTGCCAATGAGACACCTATCCACCAAGGACGAAGGAAGAAAACAACATCAGATCAGAGTACTACGACATTACACAATGAAGTTATCATAGTTACTAAAGTCAATAGATGCCTCGCATGTCAAATATTAATTAAAATTTCTACATGATTTAATATATATCTGTGGGTAATTACTTAGAAATAATACGATTTACAGGAGAATATTCCGCACCCAAGTAATAGGATAAAACATAATACGTTTTTCTTCTTTCCATCATACTAATTTTTCCTGGATGGCAGTTCCAATTTACATCTAGCCGTGACGAGCAGAAGTAATACAAGGTATGTGGATTTTTTCATATTGAGACATCAAGAGTTATATTTTTTTTTTATTAATTTACTCGTTTATCATATTTTTAAGAAACATGGAGCTTTTCTATTACTGGCGGACTTATTTACTATTTTTTTTTCTTTCGATTATTTGAGGAAGTTTAGCATGCCAAATGAGAAAAATCAAAATATAAGTATAACACAATTGGTGTCACATGTGAACCAGTAACTGCTTACCCTAACGGAGTTCACACTAGTTTTTTGTTGGTGTTCGTGTTGCTCCAATCTTTGGTTTTCTGTGTAGTGTTTTATTATTGTTGTTAGGTTTTTTCGTCGTTTTTCCATTGAACATGTGTTGTCTGTTTTTATTGGACTTGATTTAGATTGTCCACATTAGTTTCATCTTCCTCTCTCTTTTTTATGGGTTCTCTCTTGTTTTACTATGATGTAGTCTGCATTTTTGTTGTTGTCTTCTTTCCATAAATAATGATCTTCCGTTTATTTGAATCTCAAACTTCATTTTTCTCTTTTTGTTAGCAAAGATGGCAAACTACTTATTTTTGATGGAACTTGGGAATAAAACCGTGAGTATATTTCAATTCTACTGTGTTTTTTTTTAAATTCCGACTGAAAATAATCTTTCTTCATGTTTCCAGACTTGTGTGTTGCCTTTTCTTGAATAAAATATTTCACTCATTTCATTGTAGCTGAAAATAATTACAGTGAAGTATAAAGAATCCGCAATGTCTGCAGAATGGTTTCTATTAATGTGATTTTGTTTGAAGAATTAATGTCTCTTTCTGTGAAATCTGAAACATGTTAAGCAAAAGACTTAGTCAAAATAAATTTTGATGCACTTCTCTCAGTAAAAATATTGTGTTACCATCGTTATCAAAAAAATATCAAAATGTTTATAATTTATCTAGGTGACAGATGGTGACAATGTTAATCTTATCAAGTTAACAGTGACCGGATGTGGGTTTTCATTCGTTGGTACTATGCTGTCGTTATGCTTGATATGTTTTCTTCCGTAAGTAGATAGTAGAAGTGTAGCTCCAAATTATATTCAAAATATGATTACAGAATCATCCTTGATTGGTACAAAGCACTGAATAAATATATATAAGTTATGGCCATGATAAAACGTTTAAAAGCTGTAACTATGAAAACCTAAGGAACAGAAAATAAGACAGTTATATTCGTGACTAAAGCCAGATATTATCACAAGAAATAATAATAATTCAGTTTACAAACACAGTCGATTACAGTATTTGAATAATTTTCCCCAAGTATGTTTCCTACGAACACATTTAAATCAATTTCCAGTGAAAGACAGAAAAATAATGTATCGAATGGTCAAGATAGCAAACACTAGTATAAAACACAAAGATTATTACTATATACCAACTTTTTTGTGGATACTTTTAAACGAATTCGCGACGATTTATTCTCGCGATTTCCTCACTTTGTTGATGTATTCTTACAAAAGAAGATCCTATTTTGTAATATTCACAATCATTAATATTCGAATTATTTTTCTTCTCGCAATAATCGCAAAAATAAATCGCTTGCGAAAATTAATTGATTAACAGTATCTTATCGAAAGTAAGATAAAAACGAAGAAATATTGTGTATAAATTCAAGACACGAGTTTCAAAAAGAACCAACAGCTTTTGTTTTTGTTTTCATCTTGACTTTCACAATGTTTGTTTATAATTGTAGTGTGGGGAATGATAGCACGTTTATATTAACAAACCTTTGTATCAGTTTGGTCACATCACAACTAGCGTTCATAGCAGCAGAAAATGCCTATCCTGAAAAGGTAAAATATTGACATACTATGTAAATTGTCCTCCTCATGTTTTGTAATGTTAATCTTGAAATTCTGTGTTTGGAAATGTTTTTTCGATTGCAATATAGTACAGTAAAAGTTTGGTTTATAAAATAGAAAATAATGTTATATGTATTCGGTTATGTAATTCAAAATGTCAATGTTTGTTGTTTCTAAAATTTAATTTAATAAATAATTTATTGATTTGACAATTTATTTTTTATTTTTAGGGAATGTGTACATCCGCCACAGTTGTTATACAGTATTTGTTTCTCGTTGTCCATTTCTGTTCTTTCTCATATGGAATTCATCTATGCTCTAAGGTATTAATTATAATTGTAGATAGAATTTAGATAGCAAAAATTACCAGCAAAGACAAACTCTAGAAATATGTCAACATTGCCGAAATCGGCAGTCAAATCCTGATAGGAGTTGTTGCCCATTACTGACGATATTCACCATTTTACTTGTTTTGTGTATTTGCCTTTCATCTTGAAAACTATAATAGATAAATGAAAACTCTACCAAGAAAAATTATCAGCAGGAAAAGATTTACAATATTTCAAGATGGCCCAAATTGTCAGTCAACTCCTTACAGGGGTTATTGTCATTTTATAATGATTTTCTTTTATCTACTTTTCGGCAAAATATTTGGTAGATTTAAAAAATTTTGAAACAGCAAAAAACGATTAGCAAGGCAAGATCTAGAAAAACTTCACCATAATTGAAATTTTGAGTTGACTCCAAATTTTACCTTTTTGCGTTTTGTTGAATGACTAAGGAGATAGGGAGAACTGTAAACTGTAAAAATAACCAGCAAGATATATCAACAAATAGATCAACACAGCCAAAATTGCCGCTTCTTATAGGAGTTATTGCCTTTTAATAATGATTTTTAACCATTTTTCTATAAAAACTCTAATAGAAAAAGAGAAACTGTAATCATGATCAGTTATACAAGATCAACAAAAGAGAAAATTAAGTCATGAACTGTATTCTAGTCTTCAATATTGGAATAATGGTCATTGTCATTGTTAAAGAAACACATAGATCCAGGTGAGCGACACAGGCTCTTTAAAGTTTACATGCGACGATTACTTAGACTTAAATGTTACAAGCATATGTTAATATCAAATAGTAAATTATTGTGGCGATTTGACAAAGATGATGCCACCGCCGAATGCATGATTATAGATCCGCAAACATTAGATTTAGCAAACAGTGATGTTGAAGTACAACTTTAAATGGTTGTGTCTGTAAGACACATTTGATTCCTACGCCATAGCTATGAGTTATTCCATAATGTAGGACAATTTATTGTTGCAGCTGTTGTTCCTTTCAAAATCAAGTTTTGTAGTAAACTTTAACATGAAGTTAAAAAGAATGATATTAATGCAAATATGTACTTCGCAGGATAAGTGAAGTATCCAGTTCTGTTCTTGTTTGATACGGGACTGATGTGATAATTTTACTTATCCGATAAAAAATCATGTTAAATGCATTTTTACACCACTATGTAATGACAGGTAGACAACTGGACGTTTGTCCACTGAGGCATAAACATGACGAAACCTGTCATTAATGGTAGAAAAAAAAAGAAAAACGAAATCCTGACAATTTGCACGCCCTTGGTAAATGTAATAATATCTTACATAATATAAAGTTCTAGCTTAAAAACTGTGGGAGGAGTTAGCCGGACAAACCATTTACACCGCATGCATAATGTTACCCAAAAATAACAGTGTTCAACATCCTGTCATTCCTGGACAAACCATTTACACCGCATGCACAAGCTGACCCAAAATTAGCAGTGTTCAACATCCTGTCATTCTTGGACAAACCATTTACACCGCATGCACAAGTTAACCCAAAAATAGCAGTGTTCAACATCCTGTCATTCTCGGACAAACAATTTACACCGCATAAATAATGTTGCCCCAAAATAACAGTATTCAGCATCCTGTCATTCTTGGACAAACATATAATGTTACCCATAAATAACAGTATTCAGCATCCTGTCATTCTCGGACAAACATATAATGTTACCTATAAATAACAATCTTCAGCATCCTGTCATTCTCGGACAAACATATAATGTTACCCATAAATAACAGTATTCAGCATCCTGTCATTCTTGGACAAACATATAATGTTACCCATAAATAACAGTATTCAGCATCCTGTCATTCTCGGACAAACATATAATGTTACCTATAAATAACAATCTTCAGCATCCTGTCATTCTCGGACAAACATATAATGTTTCCTATAAATAACAGTCTTCAACATCCTTTCATTCTCGGACAAACATATAATGTTACCTATAAATAACAGTCTTCAACATCCTGTCATTCTCTGACAAACATATAATGTTACCTATAAATAACAGTCTTCAGCATCCTGTCATTCTCGGACAAACATATAATGTTACCCATAAATAACAGTATTCAGCACATCCGTCATTCTCGGACAAACATATAATGTTACCCGTAAATAACAGTCTTCAGCATCCTGTCATTCTCGGACAAACATATAATGTTACCTATAAATAACAGTATTCAACATCCTGTCATTCTCTGACAAACATATAATGTTACCCATAAATAACAGTCTTCAACATCCTGTCATTCTCTGACAAACATATAATGTTACCTATAAATAACAGTCTTCAACATCCTGTCATTCTCGGCCGAACATATAATGTTACCCATAAATAACAGTCTTCAACATCCTGTCATTCTCGGCCGAACATATAATGTTACCTATAAATAACAGTCTTCAACATCCTGTCATTCTCGGCCGAACATATAATGTTACCTATAAATAACAGTCTTCAACATCCTGTCATTCTCGGTCGAACATATAATGTTACCTATAAATAACAGTCTTCAACATCCTGTCATTCTCGGCCGAACATATAATGTTACCCATAAATAACAGTCTTCAACATCCTGTCATTCTCGGCCGAACATATAATGTTACCTATAAATAACAGTCTTCAACATCCTGTCATTCTCGGCCGAACATATAATGTTACCCATAAATAACAGTCTTCAACATCCTGTCATTCTCGGCCGAACATATAATGTTACCTATAAATAACAGTCTTCAACATCCTGTCATTCTCGGACAAACATATAATGTTACCCATAAATAACAGTCTTCAACATCCTGTCATTCTCGATTGGCACCCTGTAAGATATTAGAATGACCTGTACTATGAAAGAATAAAATATTAATTTAAAAAGTCACATATCAAATTCATTCAAATTTGATGAATGTTTTTAATAATCAGATGTGCAATTGATGGCCATAATAATTGTTCATTTTTTATACTTACAAGTTATTGTTTTCAGTTGAAAAACTTTGGTGATATCAAGAAGAAACGACCAGTGATTGTGTTTATGTGCTGGGGAGCACCATTACTAATATCTTTATTGACGGTCTCGTTGCGAGGAGGAGATTTTGGAAAAGGTGCTTTGTAAGTTCATTTTTCTTATAAAAAAGGTATCACGGGTTATAACTTGGTCTTTTGTCTTGTGATTAAATAGTTTTAAGTTTTGATTAAAAGGAGAAATATTAAATATGATATTTTTAATGTATTTGATGATTAGTTTGGTTTTTTTTTTTGGTTGGTCCAAGCGTGATACAATTCTTCCCGAATAAATTTAGATAATTATTGCATCCAACATATATATGTTCTGTTACTTTCAGATGCTGGTTACCTACGGAGCACGGAACCAGATGGGCGTTTCTTGGCCCTGTAATGATAATACAAATTGTAAGTTACTAATTATTTTATCATAATAAAATATATACATTCAACAGTCACTTTTACATAGAATAACTGGGTGATGTACATAGCACATACATCCTATGAAATACTAGAAAATATAATCAATAAAGCAAAGGAATGTTATTCATTTGGGTTATTAGAATGATTCAACGGTGAACGATAGAGATGCCACTTACATCGGCGTAAAAATGAATTAAGAACATCGAGGCCTGTTAGAAAATAACCCTAGTAACAAGCAATCAAACAAGATAGTAAAGACAATTTAAATCGTATGATCTCCAATTTGAGTTGTACCAGAAGTCTCTACAGTGTAAGCATTTCCTGCTAACCCATACAAGTCTTATAATTTTTTACGTCCGGCTGGTTTTATACATCAGAAACTATACTCGTCTCTTACGTAAAATACTGCATTAAAGGTGATCGTTTACCTTTTTATACCTTTTTATACCTTGATATTAGAATTTCTCTATATCGAAGTTTAGAAAATGTATAAATGTAATATATTGATGTTGAGTGCAAATTATAAGCCATCCTTTAAACAGAAAGACGAGAGGGAAAATATATGGAAAAGCATGAACTCTAGTTGTGGTGAAAAATAGGTGTGTCGACTAAATTTACATCTCCTGTATACAATATCTTTATGTAGGTCGACCTCATGCATGATAACCCTCATCAGGAATGCTCAAAACCATAAAATTTCAAAGCCAAGGATTTGTAAGACCCGAAAACGTAAAAAGAAATGCCAAATTTTGTCAAAGGTCATCTTTGCCTGAGGGAGTTGAAACTTTAGTTTTTCGAAAACTCTATTAATTTATAAACGGAGAATTTACGAAAAAAATACATTTTATAAATAATGTTAGTACCGAAGCTGTTGCTACCGAGTAGGAATGAGACAAAACCGTTAATAATGTCAGGTAGATATTGTGGGACATGTGACAAGTTAAATTGCCACTAATGAGTTCAAAAATGGAGTCTATCAATCAATTCATGACGACAGTCGTGCAATTTGTGAAGACGTCTTCCTTCAAAACTTGCTGGCCAAGACATAGAATGTTACAACTAAACTAGAGGATCTCAAGAGCCTGTGTCGCTCACCTATTCTACTTTGGTTTTGGAAATCATGTAAAAATAGATTAAAATCATAACAGATACCCTAATAATGATTGAGTCCAAATTTGGTTTAATATTGGCTTCGTATTTAATCAAAAGCAAAATATTTTTGAAAAGTTTTCAGAAATTACCAATGAATTAAAATTGTAGAAAATGACTTTATAAGGACAATAACTCCTACAAGATGTCAATTGACAATTTTGCTCATGTTGACTTATGTGTAGATCGTCTTTTCTTGATATTTTTGCAGTTTACAGTATATCTCAATCTATAAAGATACATGAATTTAGGTCTTCATCAGCACCTCATAAGGAACATTTATGCCATGTTTGGTTTCATTCCATTCAGTGCTTCTCTAGAAGAAGCATTTGTATGTATTTCCCATAGGGTCTTATGTTAAACTTACTCCCCCTGCTGGCACCCATCTTGGATGACAAATCAGCTACAAAGTAACAGCAACTCAAAAGACACATTCATACCATGTTTGGTTTCAATCCATTAAGCGGTTTTCTAGAAGAAGACATTTGTATATATTTCCCATAGGGTACTTTGTTAAACTAAGTCCCCCGTTGGCAGCCATCTTGGTTGATGGATTTGCTACAAAGTAACAACACTTGGTCAGCACCTCATAAGGAACATCAATCCATGTTTGGTTTATTCTATTCAGTTGTTCTCTAAAAGAAGACATTTGTATGTATTTCACATAGGGTCCTTTGTTAAACTAAGTTCCCCGCTGCCAGCCATCTTGGATGATTGATCGGCTACAAAGTAACAACACTTGGCCATCCCTCATTAGGAACATTCATGCCATGTTTGGTTTTATTCCATTCAGTGGTTCTCTAAAAGAAGACATTTGTATGTATTTCCCATAGGTTCCTATGTTTAACTAAGTCCCCGCTGGCGGTCATCTCGGATGATTGATCGCCTACAAAGTTAAAAAAAACTTGGTCAGCACCTCATAAGGAACATTCATGCCATGTTTTATTTTCATTCCATTCAGTGGTTCTCTAAAATAATACATTTGTATGTATTTCCCATAGGGTCCTATGTTAAACTAAGTCCCCCCGCTGGCGGCCATCTTGGATGATGGATCGCCTACAAAGTTACAACACTTGGTCAGCACTTTATAAGGAACATTCATGTCATGTTTAATTTCTTTCCATTCAGTGGTTCTCTAAAGAAGACATTTGTATGTATTGTCCATAGTGTCGTATGTTAAACTAAGTCCCCCTCTGGCGGCCATCTTGGATGATGGATCGGCTTCAAAGTAACAACACTTGGTCAGCACCTCATAAGAAACATTCATGCTATGTTTGGTTTCATTCCATTCAGTGGTTCTCTAAAAGAAGACATTTGTATGTATTGTCCGTAGGGTCCTATGTTAAAAGAAGTCCCTCTCTGGTGGCCATCTTGGAAGATGGATCAGCTACAAAGTAAAAACACTTGGTAAGCACTTCATAAGGAACATTCATGCCATGTTTGGTTTCATTCCATTCAGTGGTTCTCTAGAAGAAGTTCAAAATGTAAAAAGTTAACGACGACGACGACGACAGACAACGGACGACGGACGCCAAGTGATGAGAAAAGCTCACTTGGCCTTTTAGGCCACGTGAGCTAAAAATGGGAAGTTGACGATAGGAAAACTTAAATCATCACGTTTGTTACTTTGTTGTTTGATTGGTACTTAAATCCAAGTAAAAAGTGTCACAAAAAAATGCATTTTTAGTACGACAACATGTTGATGGGATATGAATTTAGCCGGCGTTGTACTAGAACGACTCGCTGGTCGAATTTTCAACGTTCTAGCTCACACATTAATTGTCCCCTTAAAGGAACTAATAAAACCCTTCTTGTGCATAACTGACCAGTCTGCTCTAACTACTACAGAAGACAGATTTGTTAAAGCAAATTTGCTTGTTTCTGAATCCTTTATATTTATTTCAATTGTATTCTATCGTTATGTGATAATTTATCTGAATAGATTTTGTTTAAACTAACTACAATAAGCCGCGTGAAAGGTGGCGAGGCAGCAAAAAGAATTGTGAAGTCTTTGGTTCAACTTGGAGATATCCTTGTTGTACTAGTATCTGAATATATTTTCTATGGAGAACTCTTAATTTTGTATTTATTGGTAAACGCTGCAGAAATATTCGAAAAAAAACCTATGCCAGAGTAACAAATCGGGTGCAATTCAAGCTTTTGAAGTCTACTTACAAATTTTACCATACTTTACCGATTAAGGACTTTCAAAAAACTGAAGATAAATGCACAAGTTGATTTATAAATGAAGATGTCTAACTGTAGTTGAACGTTTTGAAAGTAAAATGAAAAGTAAAACTTTAAACGTAGATACTGATTACGCCATTTCTATCTAAATTAAAACGTCTTAGATAAACAGAAAAAAACAAGAAAAAAACATAAAAATATAGTACGATTAATGGTAAATTAAATATTTCGTTAAAGTTGCATCTGTATCCAATTAAGATATCCAAAGGCATTTCTTTTGGTGCTCTTATTTTATGCATACTTTTCAGCGTAAGGAAAATGTTCTCAAATCATATATTACACAACTTATTCAACTATCTAATCACACTTCTTTTTTTATGTTTAGATCAATTGGTGTGTTTTTCTTTTAATGATGGCTACACGTTTCTCACTTGACATTAAACGTGGAGAAAGTCTTCCTAATATAATAAAGTGAGTATGAGTGAAATATAACATACAAAAAGATGAACACGCAAACAACAATAACAAAATATTGCACTAAACAAAAATGCATGAACCCTATTAAAAACAGGGGTCAATCCTGGTAGGGCTCCACATGTGAAACCCACTATATTCCTCGTGCAGGTACAAATCCGGTGATAGGTCGCATTAGGTACTAGTAATGTCACTTTCGGCGAAAAGAGGACCGGATTACGGTAACTACAAGTAGAACATATCCGTTGACATTTGTGACACAGATGTTTTATAACGGTCAACCAAATCATTACGGGTTGTTGAGTTCGTTTTAATTAACGATTTCCTTAGAGAAACGTTAGAAAGGTTACCAATTATATTGAAATATTGTAAATTTGACAAGCTAACACTCTTTATTGTGCATAAAAAAAATCCACAGCCAATCCCAATGCAACTATAACGATACAAAGAAGATATTGTACATGTATCTATGTTAGATTATGAATGCGACTATTTTTTTATAGGCAGCAGTGTTTAACTGGAGTGTCCTTGTTGAGTGTTTTAGGACTAACCTGGACTCTTGGTTTCATTGTGACCTTCGGTTCACCTAAGGTCATGGCCTATGTATTCGTATTCCTTGCATCAACACAGGTAGGAATGCCTCTCACTTGTACTGGAAAAAAGGCTTTGTACGGCATCTTTATTTTTAGTCCTCAAATGATTGTTAGTCGTAAATTCTTTGTTTTCTCTACTATTGGAATGCTTTCTGGAAAACAATTAACTTTGATTTTATAACATTCTGTTACTTCTGACTTAAAATATATTAATGCACCCCAAGATAATTAGTAATTATGAGTCATTATTTGAGGAACATTTCAACTACATCGTGCATGTATCTTTGGCTCCAACAGATTAAATGGTTTTAGGAGAAATCCGTGTCCCTTTATTTGGGATTATCCGAGTAAGAAAATTTAGGACTAGCACATTTTTCTCTCTCATAGGATTGCAAAAAAAACATTTAAAGATTCAAAAATTATTTCAATAAGCTTTCTTACAGGGAATGCTGCTTTTCTTCTGTCATGTACTAACTAACAACCAAGTAAGGAAAGTTCTTTGTGTGAAAATGAAACCACGTGACCCTGACGCATCCGTATCTGTAGATTACAGCGAGGACTACACTAGGACATCTAATGTATTTGAACATTCAAGACTAGAACATCCATCTTCCGGGTAGGTATGTAGTGTTAGTATAGATTAGTGGACTCGTATTGTATCTATTTTGGCGAATTTATTTCTTTGATTTAGAAAAAAATGAAAAATATATCATCCTAAGTCTGCAAGATTTTCCAGGTATGTGTTTTGATCTTCATTATGCATAACCAACAGTTGAAGAATAGCAAAGTTTTGGAAAAATAACGAAGGAAATATGGTTCATTTAAAATTAAACTGTTATAATTTTAGCTTTAAATGACAAAATATTTTTTTTTTCGGAGGCCTAAATCAATCTTAACAAACCTGAAATGTAAGACACTTATGTATGGAGAGTATCGCTATAAATCTTTGCATTCTCATTCTATCATTCTAGACTCCTTATCATATTGATAACTTATATATGTTGTTTTCGTCTTAAAGTGATATTTTTATCTCTTACTCATATATTACTTTCGTCTTCATCAAACATTTCTCTATAAGTCACATGTTGCTTTCGCCTCCATCTGATATTTTCTCTCTAACTCACATGTTGCTTTCAACTTAATCTGATATTTTATCTCTAAGTCACATGTTGCTTTCTTCTTCATTTGACTATCTTTCTCTAACTTATATGTTGCTTTTGTCTTCATTTGACATTCTTTATATTACTCATATGCTATTTTCGTCTTCATGTGACATTCTCTCTCTTACTAACAGATTGCTTTCATCTCCATTTGACATTCTTTCTTTTACTCATCTGTTGTTTTCGTCTTCATCTGACATTCTCTTTCTAACTCACATGTTGCTTTCATCTTGATTTGACATTTTTTTCTATTACTCATCTGTTGTTTTCGTCTTCATCTGACATTATCTCTCTAACTCACATGTGGTTTTCGTCTACATCCGATATTTTCTCTCTAACCCTCATGTTGCTTTCGTATTTATCTGATATTTTCTCTCTTTCTCACATGTGGTTTTCGTCTCCATCTGATATATTTTCTCTACTCCACATGTTGCTTTCGTCTTCATATGACATTTTCTATTAAACTCACATGTTGCTTTTGACTTCATTTGGCATTATATCTTTAACTAGCATGTTGCTTTAGGCTTCATCTGATATTATCTCATTTACTCACGTGTGGTTTTCTTCTTCATCTGATATTTTCTCTCTAACTCACATGTTGCTTTCGTCCTAATCTGCTACTTTCTGTTATACCCCTATGGTGCTTTCATCTTCATCTGATAGTTTATCTCTAACTCGCATGTTGCTTCCCTCTTCATCTAACATTCTTTTCCTAACTCACAAGTTGATATCTTCTCCATCCGACATTATTCTTTTAACTCGCATGTTGCTTTTGTCTCCATTTGACATTATTTATCTAACATAACCTTACATGTACCTTAGTGAGTCAGCGTTCACTTCGTGTATTTTAGTTATTTATCTCTTTCTTGTGTACGAATTCGTTCGTGTGTGCTTGCGGAGCCACTTTTAATCTATCAATGTTTAACAATTTTAGAGCCTTCTTTAGAGACTCTATAAAACAAATAAGATTTACGTTGGTATTAACTTAATCAAATGTAATTTACAATTTTTAATGTCACAACGCAGAATACAAAAAGGCGAATGGAATAAGCAATGTTTACTTGCACATAATGACCTGTATGACAATGTATTACGATTACGAATTCAGGTACTTAATACACAAATTGTTCATAAAATTTCATATTATCTACACATTTTTTTTATTAAAAACGTGATCAATTTATTTAGGTTAAAACACCTTTCAACACCTTACTGCAACCAAACCATATCTATTTCAGCCCGGTATTTGTATGCAAAGTGGTTCATTTTTCGGATGGAGTCGTTGGGTAATTACACAGACCAGAATAACGTTTCCTGTGGGAGCATTTGTTTGCATTAAAATCTCCGCCATCTATCGTCATAATGAGACACTATACATTACTACCTCCATTCACCTTTGTTTTTCTGCATTTTAACATTACGAATTGTTATATACACGTTTAATGTCATCTTCATAGTAATATGTCGCGAATTGTTATTAAACGAAGTCGGACACGAGGAAGGAAATAGTGAATCAAATACACGAACTTAGATGCATTCAGATTTATTATAGTTGTTTGACTGATATACAGACGAAAGCAAAATTGAGAGTTGGAAAAGGAAAGAATAAATAGAATCAGAAAACTTACATGAAAGGAATGCATGGAATCATGACTGTGGTCTACTTCCGTAGATGACACGAACGGGCATTTGAAAAGGGTCCCTTAAAACATGACGAGGAGCGATTTACAATAGTCTGTAAAGCACATTAAGCAGAAACATAATATTAAGTTACACAAAACCGCTAGTTTGATGTGAACTCACTTGGAGCAGTTCCTGCTCCACTAGAAGATTCAAGACATCCATCTTAAAATCGAGTGATATTTCGTATCAAATAATTAATGTAGACCAGGATTATAATTTTGAACGCCAGACGCGCGTTTCGTCTACAAAAGACTCATCAGTGACGCTCAAATCAAAACATTCTAAGTGCCAAAAATAGCATGAAGTTTAAGAGCATTGAGGAACCAAAATTCCGAAATGTTTTGACGAATTCAGCTAGATGATAGTCATAAACGAAGAAAGACAATAAACCAAATGTCAAATACCATCAAAGACATGGAAACTACTCTTGTTTTTTTCAACTGGTCAAGATTTATAGGCATATTTTGATCGTTTGTTTTCTTTCAGACGTTCAGATAATGAAGTAAAGATGATTCGTCGCAGATCTGAAGTCGTGACCAAAACTGAGAAGTTTGGACACCAACTTGAGGTTCAACAAAATCAATTACATCATAGAAGAAGACGTTCATCAGGCCGAAAAATGAGTGACAACTGAATACTTCAATACCGGTCAGCACCAACAAAACAAATAACTAAAAACCTTTAACGGCATATACATGCTTTATTAACGAATTGATAATTCTTCCTTAAAGGAATTAACATTGTCCCAGTTTCGAATTAAGAAAAAAATAAATAAGTTATTTGTATGATTGCCAATGAGATACAATATGTACGTTTACATTACATATATACATCTATTGTTGTGATTTGTATTGAAAACTAGAAGATATTGTAAACTGTATCATGTAACTATTCATATGTAAGTGTTTGGATTTAATTGCAGAGCACATTTGGTTTTGTTGTTTTTGTTCTTTTTATGTGTATGTCATAGCAATAATATATAATTGAATAAAAATTGATGTTTCAGAAGAAATTAATCTGTAACAGAAATAGATGTTTTGGTCATTCCACCATGACCATGCATATGTCATTTATATCTTGTGCTTTTCTGTGAACAAAGTAAGCGAGTTGCTTGATATTGCCCAAGCTACAGTATGTATTGAATCAACTGAATTTAGAATTGCTATACATTCTTATAGTTGTTTACTGTTAGCCTTTTTGGTGCCTCAGTTTTGAACCTTTTGATGATATGAGTTTCAATATTATAACTAAATATATGTTTACGTGTTTAAATGTGGCATTTATATACTAACGAAAGAACATCACAACAAACACATTTACTTAAAAGTGAAAACTAAAATTTAAAATGAGCATCGGAATGATTATATTCAATATCGCAAAAGTCGCTTCAATGTCTTCAATGAATAGAAAACCCTCTTCACTTCACGTAAAGTTCCAGGTATCCCCGTTTGATTGTGCCACCTTCATATCGAGTAGGACCACAAAGAAAACTTACAGAAAATAAATGAAATCGTGTTAAAAATAAAAGAAACAATGTTACAAATATTGTGATCGTCAATATTCACTTATTAATTATGCAAATTGTTCAAAAACTAAGTTTGCAACTCCCTCGTTAAAAATATAAATTAGACGATTTCTAACGTTTATGCCTTTTCTGTTTTGTGCAACTCTTAAACTTCTTGGTGTACTCAGTTTGCACCTTTTGACATTTGTTGATCTGGATTTCAATATCTAACTATATATGTGTACGTGTATAAACGGGAAATCTGTCATGTATACACTCATCTTCAATTACCAACACGTGTTGCAGGATCTCAATATTGACGACTTCAAGTGTAAACCTCCTGATTGCACTTTTGTCAATTTAGAATTATCCGGCTGGCCACTTTATCATTGGTGAACATCGCCAATAATACTAAACGCTAAATGTGTTATCCTAAGGTACGAAATATCGTGAGCCTAAATCCCACAGTTGGAACTCCAAACCCACAGATTGATTTAGTCGACGATTATACCAGGCAATGGGACAATTGCGCCATAAGAAAACGATGATACTCTCTCGCTGTGAAGTTGTTGATACAAATTAGAATTAATTTACTATTTCAAAAACTGAGCGTTACAAGGAAGCTATGAATACACATGCTGCATCTATAATTAAAAACCCAAACGTTGCTAAGCACTTGTCCAACCCCTATGACACATAAATTATTAACATCAATTTTATCAGCAATCAAAGCCGGGCTTTTAAGTTATTGTGATATTACCTATTGTAGTAAATACTTCGATATTGACACGATCTATAACATCTTTTTTCTAAAATTGTCCGATTATGAACTTAGAAATTATAAAGAAACTACGGTTTCAATTCCCTTAAGCAAAGTTGACCTAAGATGGATTTGGCAGCTTTCATTTTATGTCTTGTTTGGTCATATAGCTCGTCAACTGTTTCGGTTGTTATACATCCTTGGCTTTCACATATTCGGCTTTGAGCGTTCCTGATGAACGTTTTTTTATCTACTCTAGGGGCGGTGTGAATCAAATGTGTTTCAGAGTTCATACAATCTGAGTTACTTTCTTCTTGAAATATTAATAATATAAAAAAATGAACGCATCTCTCCCATCGAACTGGAAAGACAGCATACAAAAGTTACGATTAAGTTTGTCTCATATCCTGACTTACATCTAGAAATTGACAACAAATGTCGGTTGAGAACCAAGCCTTATGACAAAAGAGATGATTTCAGCTTTCCAATTGTGAGCTTTCCATTTCTATGTAGCAACATTCCAGCCATTACCTGCATATGGGGTATATACCTCACAGTTGATACGATATTCCAGGGCTTGTATTTCCTATCATGATTTCCTTGATAGAGGGTTTCTGCTTACAAGGTCACAATTAAACCAAGATTTTCAAGTGAATGGACGCCATCTAGAGTTGGTTGACCGTTATGGGATATCTATTCCACAGATGACGACGGATATGTCCCAATAGACAACTTTCGAGTTCGTTGCATTTCCGTCAAAAACTTTGGTTTTAGTGAACATCATTCATGCGTTTAGGGGCATGGTCACTTCCTTCCCATGTTGAGCGAGTGGTTGAAAAAATATAATGCTGTATTGCACGAATTATTCGGCAAATTAAATTCTTATAATTGATAATCAGCATTGCATTCATTAGGGCGTTTTGATAAAGTACCTACGGAACAAACGTTATATCTAGTTTATCCTGCATAATGACGATCACGAAGGCGCTTTATTGACGAACTTTTCCGGTGAAGGACATAACTCGAAAGTGGTCTATTGTCGTAACCAAATTCCCGTCCTCTTTTTCCTCGAATGTGATCAAAAGAATTAGACTTATCACCAAGAATTATTACCAAATTGGTATTTACTTGAGCAACACGACGGATGCCACATGTGAAACAGGATCTGCTCACCCATCCTGAGCACTTGATATCACCCCCAGTTTTTTTGGCGGGGTTCGTGTTGCTTAGTCCATAGTTTTGTATGCTTTTCATAGACCATTGTTTGTCTTTGGGTCATTTTTCATTTTTGCCATGTCATTGTCAGTTCTTTTTCAACTGAAGGGTTTGAAGTATCATCCGCCTCTCTCGTAATAACATAAACGGTACAAAATTTACTGCAACAGGTGCGCATTTCGACAATTAATGTCTCTTTAGTGCTGAGGAACTGATCAAACCAAAAAGGATCTTATTTATTTTTTATTATTAAAAGGTTGGGTTTTTTTTGGGGTTTTTTTTTTGTTATTTGAAGTAGTTATTACAGGAACAAATATTGTTTGTACTGAAATTGGTATATGTCAATAATAGTCCGTTTACATATTCAAAGCATGAAAAAGGCAATGCAATGTCTTCATTGAATATATCTGGAAACTCGCACATCAGGTTCAAGGGCGGCTCCAAAATCAAAAAAGAAAACAGTGGCAACTTCTTCTCTTACAGGCTAACATAAAGGAAAAGAAAAGAAACAAATGTTACAAATGTTTTTGATCATGACATTTTTTTTTAATCACTTGACACAAAGGGTCAAATGAGCTTTTCTCATCACCTGGCGTCCGTCGACGTCCGTTTATATTTACAAATATCTTCTCCTTTGAAGCTAGTGGGTTAATTGGAACCAATCGACGTTGATTGACTCTTTATATTATTTATTGTTCCTAAATAACGATTTTTTTGGCATTTTATCAACATATTTACTAGTTACTGCCTCTTAATGACTCCCCCCCTTTTTTTTTTACATATTTGGCCAAAAGTATAGAAGAAAAACTGTAAACAGCAAAAATGATTAACAGGACAAGATAAATAAATTTGTCAAAAATCGTCGGTTGACTCCTCAAAGGAGTTATTGCCCTTTCAGGTAAATAGTAATAATGAAATAAAATAAAAACCAAATTGCCATAAAAATAATTATAATGTTAAAAATTTCCTTATAACGAGGCACGCGATAAGGTCAACAGACTATAGGAGTTCTGTATAAAATAGGTTTGAAATCTTACCATGAGGATAAATTCCTTACGTACCTTCAATTCATTTTCTACTGGACTGACAAGCCAATTTTCCGTATTAATCAGCAACTAGTCAAGGGAATATCAACAAAATCGATTGATATACAGCAAATATTAGCATTTTTGACTTTCAGTAACTATGCAAATTCAAGCAGTCCATATTCCGGTATATACATTAAATATGAATACATCGAGAAGACCGCGCATGCATGTACAAAAATCTAGACAATCTATTCATAAAATGCATTTACACACACACACAATATTTTCACTGAAATTTCCCATGACGATGGCGTACTCGAAAACTAACTTATTGAAAATAGGAAGATTTCGGGAAATTGTACATGCTAAGGATTATGTTGAACAGTCTGAAAACTGATGTACAGAAAGAGCTTTAGTTTTTGTATGTACTGGTATCTGGTTATTCAAGAATAACAAAAAAATTAATGAATGCATAACAAGATTAACATTTCTTAAATAGCAGTACAAGAAGCTTCAAATGCAATTGCCTCAATAAATATTGAAAACAAGAGAACATGCAGTTGCATGTGTACCATGTGTACTAAACAGCATAGTTTAACAGATAATTCTTTTTTTTTTATAAATCGGTTGTTGTTTCAAAATCACTTTTAATACCGACGTAATAAATCAAACAGTTGATTTTGTTACCTTTTTTTTAAGGATATAAGAACGGTGATTTTTCTGTTGTTTCCACTTCATCAGTTCACACTCTAAACCTCCAATATCTCTTCTTCTTCTTCCAAGTAAGGAACCGATTTCATACATGAATGCGTATGGTCCCCAGGGGCGGATCCAGGATTTTAGGTTAGGGTGGCGCAAACTTAAATTTTCGCCGAGCGGAGCGATGCGAAAAAAATTTTGAGGCAAAATTATCGAAATATTCCTCAAGAGTGTAGAGACAACCCATGCTTTGCAAATTTTAGGGAGGGCGCACGCCCGCCACGCCCCGCCTGAATCCGCCCCTGCTCCCGCGAAATCTGTACGCAGTGTCGGGCAACACAGCTAGTCTTCTCAAATTTATTTACATTTAAAACATTCTCCAATTTACAATTAAAACTATGTACAGGATGTGCTGCCTACTTCCTTTCAGAGTCTGCTTTCAAATCAGCTCTGAATCCCTCTATTGCGTCCGCAGAGGTGACTTTAAATGGAAGTTGATTCCAATCCCTGATGGTCTTTGGGTAGAATGACTGTCCATAGGTGTCCGTTTTTGTTCTTTCCTGATAAAAGCGGCCTATACCTCTGGTCCGGCTGTCGTTGGGGATTAGATATTGGTGTATGTCTATATCTATTAGCCCATTCTGGATCTTAAATAGCATACATATACTGTTGGGTTTCATTCGTTCTTACAGGCTTTCCCACTGTAGTTGTTTTACCATGTTTGTTACACAGCCAGGTGTTCGGTCTGTGTAGTTGGTTTTTTTTTAATACTTGTTCTAACGATTTGATCTTTTTTTGGCATGAAGGGTCCCAAACTGTGCAGGCATGTTCCACCGTAGGTCTTACCATGGCTGTATATGCTGCTGCTTTTACTGGTTAATTGCAATCTTTTAGGTTTCGTCGGATAAATCCCAATGTTTTATTTCCTTTGACTACAATGTTGTCGATGTGTCTATCCCAGGATAAGTTGTTACTGATGGTTACGCCGAGGTATTTGCTGGCATCAAAACATTGTCGAGCGTATGTCCGTGAAGTTTGTATTATGTATCTATTATACGTTTTTGTTCTTCTGTGATATCCTAATTACTAGTACTATGCATTTTTTGGCGTTGAAGCTCATTTGCCATTTATTCTCCCAATCTTCCAGTGATGTTAGGTCTTTTTGAAAAAGGTCACGGTCTGTCTGGTTGTTGATTGTTCTAAAGAGAAGGCTATCGTCCGCAAATAGTTTGGTTTCAGATGACGTTGACGTTTCTGGCATGTCATTCATGTAAGTCAGAAACAATAGAGGTTCAAGAACTGTGCCTTGGCCTTGGGGGTACACCGATAGTACGCGGGGACTTGATAGGAGACAGCTCCTTCTAATATTACGCTCTGCATTCTATTTTCGAGGAAAGAACGAATTCATTTGTTAGTTTTAGGGTTAATCTATTAATCACTTAATTTTGTGATATTGTTACAAGATGTGACAATTCACAAACAAACCTTATCAAACGAAACAATCAAAAAGATAACTGAAAAAGCGAAATTTCTACTTAGAAAAATACATAGATCCATTTCCGTCGGCAGTTGATTCGTATTTAGAAAAGTTTATTTAAAAATAGACACATGTCAAAATTAAGGACGTGCGGGTTTAGGTGGCACGGTAGTATTTCCTGGCCCATAAGGGATAATGATAGCCTTTTTAGAATTTTCACCACTTTCTAACACTGCTAAAAATTCTACATTCACAGTTAACTGAAGTACTTTCATTTTACTATTCAGAAATGAATTTGAATATGTATCATGACCGTTTACTTTTTTTGCTATCTTTAAGAACCTAAGGCCACTAGTGCTTTTAGGTCTTTTATCGTGCAGTGAATACAAAATTTAAAAAAATTATCAAAAATTCATTTTCATCTGTATGTAAAATTATTTCATATTTTTCTACACCTGATTCATCCCTAAGTTTGGGAAAGTATGTTCAGTTGATATTGTATTTTTTGTCCAATCATAATGTTCAGATACATTGACTTAAGTAGGGTACACAAAAGAGCAACCTAAATTCTGGAATGCAAATACTACCGTGCTACCTTAACCAAGACATTTCAAACTTGAAATCAGTCATGACACCTATGATGCATAGCCTTCTTACTATGTAACATATTACAATAAAGAATACTAGTCTGCACTTATTTCTTACCAAAAAAAAATGAAAGATTACACCCCTACCCCAGCTGGCAGATTTTCATTTTTTTATCATCTTACCATTTTTACTTAAGGAGTGAACAAAATCAAAATATATGATGTTTCAAATCAACACAGAAGTCAAACATGGTGATTCAGGAGGAATTATTGGATTGCCAACTCTATTTATAGTTAATCTGACTGAAAGAAACAGTTTAAGCACCAAATCATGAAAAATGATATTAAAAGTCCATTCCACATTTTACAGCATGCCTTACATTACTTTAAGCATTTCCAGATTATGAAGGCAACACAACAAGATTCTTTAGATGGCATTTAACTATCATTCTAAAATCTTTTTGACAATATATGTACTAGAATATATCTCTAAGTTGACTGTTTGTCTATTTCTCATGTATGCATTAAGTTAAATTATGTCCCCTTACATAATCATTTTACCTTTATTGTGCTTTTCATTGTCAGAAAATCAAAACAATTAATGACATTTGCATGGAAAATGAATAAACTATTTAATCTTGCTGATAAACAGTCATAATTACATTCTTTGTCAAAAAAAATGTCTTGTCAGTGTAAAGAAACCCCTATTGCTATCTCTATTTCAGTCAAATATGAGGGCTAAATGAATAAGTAAGGACCCCTTAACCACTTGCTGGTTCCAAAAAAGCTCATACTGGTGTCATGTTACCACAGAACTACAAATTAAACCTAAAGAAAACTAGTAAAGCTGTACTTGTGTGGAAAAAAATAAGAAATTATGCAATTTATTTATTTCGGTGAAAATAATAGGATGTACAGACAAATAAAATATGTCGCGTCTCAAATTCCAGTGGTTGCACATGTGTCAGACACTGCGAAAAGTTAAAGCGAGCATTTATAATTAAAAATGTATTGCAAGTTACATAAAAATAATGAAGTTCTACTTTCTAGGTAAATTTTTACTTTATTACCCACAGATCAGGCAAAATTTGCTGAATCAGCAATTTTCACTCCCAGGGGTGGAATTTAAGGGCTGTTTTTATCATAGTTGCCCTTAATCAACTTTTTATTGATAAACTTACAAATTGCATAGGTAAAAAAAAATCCTTCATTGATTTAGTGTAAACATGTATATCCCCTTAAGGTGGCACGGTAGTATTTCCTGGCCCATAAGGGATAATGATAGCCTTTTTAGAATTTTCACCACTTTCTAACACTGCTAAAAATTCTACATTCACAGTTAACTGAAGTACTTTCATTTTACTATTCAGAAATGAATTTGAATATGTATCATGACCGTTTACTTTTTTTGCTATCTTTAAGAACCTAAGGCCACTAGTGCTTTTAGGTCTTTTATCGTGCAGTGAATACAAAATTTAAAAAAATTCTCAAAAATTCATTTTCATCTGTATGTAAAATTATTTCATATTTTTCTACACCTGATTCATCCCTAAGTTTGGGAAAGTATGTTCAGTTGATATTGTATTTTTTGTCCAATCATAATGTTCAGATACATTGACTTAAGTAGGGTACACAAAAGAGCAACCTAAATTCTGGAATGCAAATACTACCGTGCTACCTTAACCAAGACATTTCAAACTTGAAATCAGTCATGACACCTATGATGCATAGCCTTCTTACTATGTAACATATTACAATAAAGAATACTAGTCTGCACTTATTTCTTACCAAAAAAAAATGAAAGATTACACCCCTACCCCAGCTGGCAGATTTTCATTTTTTTATCATCTTACCATTTTTACTTAAGGAGTGAACAAAATCAAAATATATGATGTTTCAAATCAACACAGAAGTCAAACATGGTGATTCAGGAGGAATTATTGGATTGCCAACTCTATTTATAGTTAATCTGACTGAAAGAAACAGTTTAAGCACCAAATCATGAAAAATGATATTAAAAGTCCATTCCACATTTTACAGCATGCCTTACATTACTTTAAGCATTTCCAGATTATGAAGGCAACACAACAAGATTCTTTAGATGGCATTTAACTATCATTCTAAAATCTTTTTGACAATATATGTACTAGAATATATCTCTAAGTTGACTGTTTGTCTATTTCTCATGTATGCATTAAGTTAAATTATGTCCCCTTACATAATCATTTTACCTTTATTGTGCTTTTCATTGTCAGAAAATCAAAACAATTAATGACATTTGCATGGAAAATGAATAAACTATTTAATCTTGCTGATAAACAGTCATAATTACATTCTTTGTCAAAAAAAATGTCTTGTCAGTGTAAAGAAACCCCTATTGCTATCTCTATTTCAGTCAAATATGAGGGCTAAATGAATAAGTAAGGACCCCTTAACCACTTGCTGGTTCCAAAAAAGCTCATACTGGTGTCATGTTACCACAGAACTACAAATTAAACCTAAAGAAAACTAGTAAAGCTGTACTTGTGTGGAAAAAAATAAGAAATTATGCAATTTATTTATTTCGGTGAAAATAATAGGATGTACAGACAAATAAAATATGTCGCGTCTCAAATTCCAGTGGTTGCACATGTGTCAGACACTGCGAAAAGTTAAAGCGAGCATTTATAATTAAAAATGTATTGCAAGTTACATAAAAATAATGAAGTTCTACTTTCTAGGTAAATTTTTACTTTATTACCCACAGATCAGGCAAAATTTGCTGAATCAGCAATTTTCACTCCCAGGGGTGGAATTTAAGGGCTGTTTTTATCATAGTTGCCCTTAATCAACTTTTTATTGATAAACTTACAAATTGCATAGGTAAAAAAAAATCCTTCATTGATTTAGTGTAAACATGTATATCCCCTTAACCAAGACATTTCAAACTTGAAATCAGTCATGACACCTATGATGCATAGCCTTCTTACTATGTAACATATTACAATAAAGAATACTAGTCTGCACTTATTTCTTACCAAAAAAAAATGAAAGATTACACCCCTACCCCAGCTGGCAGATTTTCATTTTTTTATCATCTTACCATTTTTACTTAAGGAGTGAACAAAATCAAAATATATGATGTTTCAAATCAACACAGAAGTCAAACATGGTGATTCAGGAGGAATTATTGGATTGCCAACTCTATTTATAGTTAATCTGACTGAAAGAAACAGTTTAAGCACCAAATCATGAAAAATGATATTAAAAGTCCATTCCACATTTTACAGCATGCCTTACATTACTTTAAGCATTTCCAGATTATGAAGGCAACACAACAAGATTCTTTAGATGGCATTTAACTATCATTCTAAAATCTTTTTGACAATATATGTACTAGAATATATCTCTAAGTTGACTGTTTGTCTATTTCTCATGTATGCATTAAGTTAAATTATGTCCCCTTACATAATCATTTTACCTTTATTGTGCTTTTCATTGTCAGAAAATCAAAACAATTAATGACATTTGCATGGAAAATGAATAAACTATTTAATCTTGCTGATAAACAGTCATAATTACATTCTTTGTCAAAAAAAATGTCTTGTCAGTGTAAAGAAACCCCTATTGCTATCTCTATTTCAGTCAAATATGAGGGCTAAATGAATAAGTAAGGACCCCTTAACCACTTGCTGGTTCCAAAAAAGCTCATACTGGTGTCATGTTACCACAGAACTACAAATTAAACCTAAAGAAAACTAGTAAAGCTGTACTTGTGTGGAAAAAAATAAGAAATTATGCAATTTATTTATTTCGGTGAAAATAATAGGATGTACAGACAAATAAAATATGTCGCGTCTCAAATTCCAGTGGTTGCACATGTGTCAGACACTGCGAAAAGTTAAAGCGAGCATTTATAATTAAAAATGTATTGCAAGTTACATAAAAATAATGAAGTTCTACTTTCTAGGTAAATTTTTACTTTATTACCCACAGATCAGGCAAAATTTGCTGAATCAGCAATTTTCACTCCCAGGGGTGGAATTTAAGGGCTGTTTTTATCATAGTTGCCCTTAATCAACTTTTTATTGATAAACTTACAAATTGCATAGGTAAAAAAAAATCCTTCATTGATTTAGTGTAAACATGTATATCCCCTTAAGGTGGCACGGTAGTATTTCCTGGCCCATAAGGGATAATGATAGCCTTTTTAGAATTTTCACCACTTTCTAACACTGCTAAAAATTCTACATTCACAGTTAACTGAAGTACTTTCATTTTACTATTCAGAAATGAATTTGAATATGTATCATGACCGTTTACTTTTTTTGCTATCTTTAAGAACCTAAGGCCACTAGTGCTTTTAGGTCTTTTATCGTGCAGTGAATACAAAATTTAAAAAAATTCTCAAAAATTCATTTTCATCTGTATGTAAAATTATTTCATATTTTTCTACACCTGATTCATCCCTAAGTTTGGGAAAGTATGTTCAGTTGATATTGTATTTTTTGTCCAATCATAATGTTCAGATACATTGACTTAAGTAGGGTACACAAAAGAGCAACCTAAATTCTGGAATGCAAATACTACCGT